CAGGTCAAGAAGAGGCCTCAAGATTCCCAAATCATGGTCAAACACTTACAGTCGAAGGGTTTATGTCTAGACTTCAGCACGCAGGTCGAGTGACAAGCATTCTGCGGGGCTGTTTGACTAAATCAGGAACCCGATGTAAGGCAGCGACAGGGTATGAAAGCGTCTGCCCTTGTCGTAAGGTTCAGCGGCTATATAGGTATCTCATGATCCACTGCGGACACGGCCGAACTGATAAAGCTGAAGGAGGTTCTGGATTCCTCAGTGCGCCCGGCACCCATCATCTCACAGTAGGCTATACTAGAACAGAATACACTCCGTCGGGCGCATTCGGCCAAAGTCCAAAGCTCGGTCAAAGTCAAAAGCTCTTCAGTCGTTAGCAGTAGCAACTTCGCGCAAACACTGAACTCGAAACACACACACACACACAAACACACACACACACACACACATCTGTCCGGTCCTTGCGGCCTGCTGAAAGAAGAGACCTGTGCCGAACGCTTGTCGACATTTTGACCACCACTTAGTTTTTGTCGTTGTGGGTTGCGTCTGTTGCCTTGCAGTGCTCTGGTTGCGACATCTTAGTATGATGCTCTGCTTGATGCTTACGTAATATCTGAATATCTCAAACTCTTTAGTGATTTGTGCGTCCCCACGGGTTCAAAATCTTATTTGTACATTCGCTAGAATTCGGCTACAGCCACAGGTTATAGTCAGCAAGCACGCATGTTCTGAAGGACCGCTCCAATAAGATACGGCCTTTGTCAGCATTCTCAGCTCCAAGGCCGTGTGATCTGCATGGAGCAGTCGCGAAGCTTTAAGAGCTGGTGCGCATCGCCCGGCCGTGTGAAAACCCTTGGAATGACTCTGCGCGTCATGATCCAAGGTCGTCCCTGAATTGAAACTCAAACCCACCGTTGGACGCATTGTATTGGTGTGAAGACATTTGGAGTTTGGCGCAGTTTAGGATCAAGTTGCGGGTTGGTGGTCCTTGAAACCTTAAGCTGAAATCCTTTCAAGGAAGAACTAACTTCAACATCTCCGTGTTCTTTGACCAAATCCTGAAAACTGAACTGCCGCCAAATCAGGTGATGCCCGCAGCCCAAGCGCTGAGTTCACCGTGTTGAGGGGGGGAGAGTAAGAAGGCATGGGTCGGTTGCCGTAGCGCGAAGAACCTGCAGGAGTCGACTGCAAAATGCAAGCCGAACTGCCCTCAATCCGACCTTCCGTGAAACTGCGACCCCTGCACAAGATCGGAAGCCCTTCTCTGAGCCCACGGGCAGCCTGTGATCCTCTGCCAGGGATTCCAGCTGAAGGAAATCTGCCGGCAGCCGCATCTCAGAAGCTAGTTTCCTGCAAGAGACCTGGGGCCGAACAGGGTCACGCATCTCTCCTAGGAGGCGAAGCAACTTTGGCGGTGTTAATGCGCATGCATGTCTGTACGTATGTATGTATGTGTGTATGTATGTATGTATGTATGTATGTATGTATGTATGTATGTATGTATGCACTCATGTATGTATGTATGTATGTATGTATGTATGTATGTATGTATGTACAGAAGCATGTCTGTATCTAAGTATCTATGTACGCATGCGCGATCATGCATCCACGCACGGCACCCCTGGCCGCGTGGATGCGTGCCTGGGCGTCTGCATGTATGCAGGGCATGTATGTACGTCTATGTATGTATGTAGGTATGTATGTATGTAGGTAGGTAGGCAGGCAGGCAGGCAGGCAATTAAGGTGATATGGGTGATGAAGGGAAGATGAAAGTGTGGCTCCGATACGATTCCGAGCTGACTTTGTAAGGCGCAAACTTTTGGAAGTGTCGCGCGGATGCGGCGCATGCTTCAGAATGCTTCATAGTACGCTTGGATTGGAATCAAGTAGCTTGGTCCATGCTTGCGAGCTTGCGCCCCAGAACCGCCGTAGTGGCTTAATAACACAATTGCTTGTATAGGTGCTTTATCAAGCTTTACCATCCCGCGCCTGGTGTTTGCCAAGACAAAGCCAATCCACACCTTGGCAGCCTTCAAGTTTGGGGCCGCATCTCCCTACTGACCGCCGCGCCATCGGCTCGCTGCCACGGATTGTGATGCACGCTGTGGGCTTGGGATTGAGAGCTTGGGTCTTGTTTTTTCATGGGTGGGGTTCTTTTCAGGCATTTGTGGTTCGTTGTTTGCATGTTTTTGGTTTTCGCCTGAATGGTTTCAAGCGCCCACTCAGTCAGCCAGTTGTCAGTCGATCCGCCGGGCAGTCAGTCAGTTGGTGGGTGCCAGGCAGTGGGTCAGTCGTCCGGTCCATCAGTCGGTATGCGAGCACGCCGGTATGTCAGTCAGTCGGGCGGTCGGTCGGTCCATGCGCCGAGCGCCAGGCAGTCAGTCAGTCGATATATGATGAGCCAGAAGCGCCAAATGAGGGGGCGTGTTTTAGATATATGGTGAACCGGAATCGCCACGTGAGCGGGCGTTTTCAAGATAAATGGTGAACCGTTATCGCCGAACACCAGAACCATCTAAACCATAACCACCAACAGGCCCTGGCCCGCGAATTCTCTTGGACTCATTGCTCCACACCTGCATCGATCAACGATCAGCCTCCACTACAAACGACCTGAACGGTCATAAAACAACAGGTATATGCGTGTTTAAGATATTTTTAGCACTCGAGCTCGAACAGGATGGATATATATATATATATATATATACACATACGGTGAACCGCTATCGCCAAATGAGGGGGCGTGTTTAACATGTATGATGAGCCGATATCGCCAAATCAAGGGGCGTGTTTAAAATATATGATGAACCGGAATCGCGGAGTGAGGGGGCGTGGACCTGTTATCGTCAAATGACGAATCCAGGGGGCGTGCTTTAGATATGGGATGAAACGGAATCGCCAAATGAGGGGGCATGTTGCAGTATGTTTGAGATATGTGGTGAACCGTTAAAGCCAAATGAGGGGGGGTATTATGTTTGAGACAGGGGGGCGTGTTTTACATGTCTGATGAGCCGAAGGGCGTCTTTAAGATATAGGATAAGCCGGAATCGCGAAATGGGGGGGGCGTGTTTAGGATATACGATGATCCGTTATCGCCACATGAGGGGGCTTGTTCAAGAAAATGATGAACCGGAATCACCAAATAAGGGGCGGCGCGTGTAAAATACATGGCGAACCAGGGCGCGGCAGGAGGGGGCGTGTTTAAGATGCGATGAACCGCCAGTCCCCTT